GGGTTCAAAACTTCACAACTTTGAGCATGGACACCGACAGGGCATTAGAACGACGCGCGGGTGGACACACACCCCCTTGGGATGATGCAGGTAAGCTATTACAAACACTGCCTACGCACCACCCAAGGGTTAGCCCATGATTGTTGTATGCTGGGACTGGGCAGTAGTGCGGTGTTCTGATGATCTTGGTCTACGGGGTGGTCACGAGACTGCTGGGTGATTTGTATGGTCTAGTTTATTCGAGCCCAACAAAGCAGAGTTACATATTATTTCACAATATAGGTCAATAGGTTAGGTCATTCACATGATTCACATGAGGTCCTGTACTCAATACCAGATTATGACTTAGGGTTGGTCATCCTCCTAGTACATAGTCCAGGGTTGAGGCTGGCATAGCAGCTCCTTAGTACGGGATGGCGGGGGTGTTAGGAGATGCTGCACGTCTCCACAAACACGTCCAGACTCCAGGGACATACAAGGGAACAGAGGATTGTTAGCTCCTAGACTACCAGATAACACAGGGTCAATAGATTCTCAGGGTCGGCTATCCTCCTAGTTTGTAGCTTTAGGGTTGAGGTTGGCATAGCAGTTCCTTAAATCACCAGTACTTGGCCCAACTATTGAAGTCGAGCCTGAATATGCCCTGCGCGCGGATTTTTGCCGAGCCTGCAGTGAATGGGAAAAAATACAGGACATTTGTTGCTTCAAGCAGGTGCCGCCCCTTATGCTGGACCTGCTGCCAGCAGATGGAACGTAAACAGGCCGTTGTTTTCTTGTTTCCACTCAGGTGGCACCCGAAGCCTCGCCAGGAGTGCAGCCAGTGCGAAAGATCTTCTTCTTCAAAAAAAAAAAAAAAAAAAAAATGGGTGAAAAGGAAAGCCAAGCTACGCACTCACATGACACATTTTACATCTAGATACATTTGGGAGAGTGTGAACATTACACTGCCAGCAGTGCCAGGCACTCAATGCTCCCCGTGTCCAACGGGGAGTCGGATCATGAAGTGCCAACGATCTTCTTCCGAAAAAGCAAAAAAAAAAAAAAAGGTGAAAAGGGAAACCAAGCTATGCACTCACGTGTGGCGTTTTACATCCAGATACATTTGGGATAGTGTGAATGTTACACTGTCAGGCATCAATGCTCCCCGTGTCCAACGGGGAGTCAGATCACGAAGTGCCAACGATCTTCTTCAGAAAAAGCAAAAAAAAAAAAAGGGTGAAAAGGGAAACCAAGCTATGCACTCATGTGTCGCGTTTTACGTCCAGATACATTTGGAAGAGTGTGGATGTTACACTGCCTGGCATTCAATGCTCCCCGTGTCCAACGGGGAGTCTGACCACGAGGTGCCAACGATCTGTTTCTTTTTTTTTTTCTCCTTTTCGTTTTTGTTTTTCCCCTCGTTGATTTCAGCGTCCGTGCGTTTCCACATAGCACACCACCAGGACATTGTGCAGTCCTTTTGCCCCGTTTCCATGGGGCCACCAGCTCCCTCCCCCATTGCCATGCCAAGCCTTTGCCGAAGCGCGGGAAATGTGTATCGTTAACGCTAAGGGCCCGCGGCCGATGTATGGGCCAAGTACTGGTGGTTTAATACGGGACGACAAGGATGCCAGAAGATACTGCACCTTACCGTGGGGCCGGAACGGGCTCCAGGGATATACGAGGGAACGGAGGATCCCCAACTCTCTGCCATCACACAATAGAATAATGATTTATGTACGATTGACATAAGGTCATGTGTTCGCTACCAGATCACGACTTAGGGCTGGTCTTCCTCCTAGTACGCAGTCAAGGGTTGAGGCTGGCATAGCAGTTCCTTAGTACGGGATGTCGGGGGTGTCAGGAGATACTGCACCTTACCGCGGGGCCAGAATGGGCTCCAACGATGTACGAGGGAACAAAGGATTGTCAGCTCTCAGATTACCATACAACACAGGGTCAATAGATTCTCAGGGTTGGTTATCCTCCTAGTATATAGCTTAGGGTTGAGGCTGGCATAGCAGCTCCTTAGTACGGGATGTCGGGGTGTCAGAAGATACTACACCTTACCGAAGGGCCGGAACAGGCTCCAGGGATATACGAGGGAACGAAGGATCCCCAACTCTCTACCATCAAAAAAAAAAACGAGAAGGAACGAAAAGAAAAGAAAAGAATGAAATTCACGAGTTCCAAGTCGCGGCGCATTGCGGTCTGGGGAGGGGGGAAGAGAGAGAGAGAGAGAGAGAGAGAGAGAGAGAGAGAGAGAGAGAGAGAGAGAGAGAGAGAGAGAGA